GGTTTTAGCACTGCTCAAAAGCTATCATCTCGAGTCAGCAATTCGAAGAAGCCATCTGATTTTGCTATGGGATCAGGGAAGAAAGTTCGGCATCAGACTGGGAGTTCTCGTGGATGGAATCGTGGTACCTCGGGGAAGTTTGAGTCTTCAAAAGAGTCTATGACTAGCACTACTAACATTACACTGATGAAGCAATGTGACACGCTACTGAAAAAACTGTGGTCTCATCCGCATTCGTGGGTTTTTCAGGCGCCAGTTGATGTAGTGAAACTGAACATACCTGACTATCTCACTATTATCAAACATCCCATGGACTTGGGGACAGTAAAGAAGAACTTAGCATCTGGTGTATACTCAAGCCCACATGAGTTTGCTGCTGATGTGAGGCTTACATTTACCAATGCAATGACATATAACCCTCCAGGACATGATGTTCACATTATGGGGGATATCCTTAGTAAATTATTTGAAGCGCGGTGGAAAACTATCGAAAAGAAATTACCAGCTTGTAGCATGCAAACGTTGCCTGCAATAACATTGGAGCCCAATGATGAAAGGAAAGCTGCTATATCTGTCCCTCCGGCTAAGAAGAGAAAGATGGCTTCACCCGTTAGAGAGAGTGTTCCAGAACCCGTGAAGCCACTTATGACAGCAGAGGAGAGGCATAGATTAGGCAGACAACTCGAATCACTACTCGACGAACTTCCTGCACATATCATTGACTTTTTGAAGAAACACAGTTCAAATGGAGGGGAAATAGCAGAAGACGAAATTGAGATAGACATTGATGTTCTCAGTGATGAAGTACTGGTCACTCTGCGAAACCTTCTAGATGAATATATACAAAATAAAGAAACAAAGCAGTCGAATGTTGAACCATGTGAAATAGAGGTAATCACCATCTCACCTGCTGGAATACATTTTTTTTTTGATCAAACACTGGAATACATTTTAATGATAACTTTACTGAGAAGAAGCGAATTTCTTTTGTTGCAGCTTATTAATGGATCAGGACCAAGCAATTCGTCACTGCAACGAGGTGAACCTCAAATTCTGTTTGCAAATTATGTTCCTGGTTTATTACTGGTCAGTGGTCACTGTGTTCACCAGTTGTCTTACTTTTGCTCTTCTGTGTTCTTTTTCTAGGAAATGAATTGGCTGATGAGTATGTCGGTGGGAATGAACCTCCTATCTCAAGGAGCTCCAGTGGTTAGTTGCAATTCGTCAACTCTCATAACATTTTCTTGTCGTAGGTCTCTATGGATGTTATAATATGTCGCTGACTCATATATATATATATATATGAGAAGCTTTATATATTGCCCCTCCTATGTTCATATCATGAATTTTGTATGGCTTTTTGTTTGCCCATATATCTTTTCCTGTCTATCGAATTCAATATTTTTTACTAGATCTTATCAAATTCTATGGTGGTTGTGGGTTCCTCAAAATGTCATTGTTGATACAATCATTGAAATCATGATTGAAAGTTTGTCAAATTTGATTCTGGCAATTTCATTGATGGAGCCTGTTTTCATGATATAGAGGGTTTCGTAGGTTTCTGTAGCATTGTGTTATTGTAACAGATTCTGTGTTACCTAATAGAGTGTTGCTTTTCAGATTCGGATTCTGGTAGCTCGGAAGATCAGTCTGATGATGCTAAACCCATGGTTCAAGAGGATTATTCCAAGGTATAAATCTATAATGTCAGCTTTGCAAGGCATGTAATTTTTTAAGAATCTAAACCACGCAGTTGGTTAACCTTCAGATGCCTGAAACTGGAAATTCTGAGGCGCAAAGAGATGAAAATACAAGAATTGATGATCTTTTCGGAGGAAGTCGTGAGTACTTTATCTCCGTTAAATTCTTTATTATGATCTTAAGATCATTCATAAGCTCTCTACCCTAGTTCCACTGCACTACTCTCAGTTTCCTAGATAGATTTATCCAAGATTTACGCGGTTGTAATATCTGTAGTTGGCTACAGTAGGGAAATTAACAGAAAACAGTTGTTGGTTATCGCTGTTGGATGCAAAATTACTGTTAAAGCATTTTCTCAGGATACATATTTACAGTTTGTATTACTGGTGTATTCATTACAGAATCTACTGGTGCGTTGGAGCAGATGGATATTTGTTCTCAGCAAAAGCCTAGTTCGGATGAATCAGATATCCAACATGAGGGTGAGATATAGAGAAAAAAGAGAGTTTCCCTTTTTCTCTATTTGAGCCATGAAGTGAGTAATCTAATACTTTGTCATTTTAATGCTTCAGGAAATATATTAGAGACTCCGGTTTCATCTGAGAAGCGCTATAGAGCTGCGCTGTTGAAGAACCGGTTTGCAGATATCATTCTAAAAGCACGCGAGAAACCTCTTCCACAGGTCTGTACTTGTCCTCAATTTAGCCCATCTTTATTTGCCTTAAGTGGTGACTGGATTACGCTTCTTGCTAGAACTCCTGTTATAATTGTTTGGTTTGAATACTGGCAATCGTTTATTACCCATAGGAGGCCAGGAAGAATAGAAGTAGCTTTAGGGTTTTATGTTTTGTAGCAGAGTATTTGGATTTAGTCTAAATATTCACAGAAACTTGGAGATATAGATTAGGATATAAGAATTTTTAGAATTTTTATTTCAGTTTTTGTTTAAGAATTTTTTTTATCAGAATTGTTACCTGAGCATAATGGTGGAACAGACATAGAAATCATAAGCAATGTCCGCATTTGCATTATTTGATCCCGAATTGAATGCATGGATCACATACTCTACACTATCCTTGAAGTAGTCTTCTTGATCCTTTGGGAATTAATATGGCTTAAATTTGATCTCTCATGAGAGCAGAATGGTATTAAGGGGGATCCGGAAAGGCTGCGTAAAGAAAGAGAAGAACTCGAATTGCAGAAGAAGAAAGGTTGTTTACTTGTTTATATATTATAACAACCCAATATATTAAATTTTTGTTGTTTCTCTGGATCATTCTTACAAGAAGAAATTTGTTTTACTTTTATGTTCTTTAAATTGAAAATCTTCTTTTGTTGCCAGAGAAAGCGCGGCTACAAGCTGAAGCAAAGGCTGCTGAAGATGCTCGTCGCCAAGCTGAAGCAGAGGCCGCTGCAGAAGCTGCTGCTGAGGCTAAGCGGAAGAGAGAACTCGAAAGAGAAGCCGCTCGCCAAGCTTTATTGAAGGTAGATAGCAAACACATGACTAAGCTTACGTTACAGTATCACAAACGTTAAAAACACTCATGAAGATAAACATGTGTAAAATATGGAGCATGTTCTCTGATGATTTTAAATTTTCTACCAATGAAAGTTGTGTTGTTTGTTTCTTGGATTCTTATATTTTTTATGTCTTTGATTTCCTTGCAGATGGAGAAAACTGTAGAGATCAATGAGAACTCACGGTTTCTCGAGGACCTAGAGATGCTGAGTTCTAGTGCACCTGAGCAATTACCAAGCTCAGCCGATGAAACCAGCCCTGAGAAACCTTTAGACGCACTTGGAAGTTTCAACCTCAGAGGAAGTAACCCACTTGAGCAACTCGGACTGTACATGAAACAAGATGATGATGAAGAAGAACCCGAAGCTCATGCGCTTCCAAAACCTGATGAAACCAGCACCGAGAGACCTTTAGACGCACTTGGAAGTTTCAACCTCGGAGAAAGTAACCCTCTGGAGCAACTCGGACTGTACATGAAACTAGACGACGATGATGAAGAAGAACCCGAGGCTCCTGTGGTGCCAAAACCCGATGAAACCAGCCCCGAGAGACCTTTAGACGCATTTGGAAGTTTCAACCTCAAAGGAAGTAGTAACCCTCTTGAGCAACTCGGACTGTACATGAAACAAGACGATGATGAAGAAGAACCCGAGGCTCCCGCTGTTCCAAACCTAGCCAATGACGTGGAAGAAGGTGAAATCGATTAATACAAAAGAAATGTATAAAATATATACATGTATTATATATAAAACAATAGCCAGGGGAGATACACATGTACGTCTGAACACACACAGACGCAGGAAATGAAGGTCTTAGCCCTTCTTAAGAGAAGGTCCAATCTTTGGCTCATTGTGTAATGAGTTTTGGAATGGATCTCTCTTAAGCCAGTGTGGTTGTTAAATTATGTAAAACACGAAGCAAACGCTTAGAAGCTTTTTGCCACAAGACTTCATGAAGAGTCCCTTAGTGTATGATTATTAAAAAAAAAAAAAAAAAAAAAAACAAAGAGGAGAAAAAAAAATGAGTCAAAGACCATTGTTTGTGTAAGAATCTATTTTTACATTTGTTCTTGATAATGATTCTCTGTGCAGAATCTACCTTTACATTTTTATCCGATTTTGGACACAGCCATCGAATGACATTGGTAAACTAGCTTTGAGCGAGGTTTCCACTTTCATTACAACCAAATAAATAAATGTGAGTGAGTACTATTGAATATTGAACTTTGTCATAAAAAAAATTGACTAGTGACTAAAATAAGTACAATGCGAATACAATAATTATCACATTTTTACAAAATTTTGTAAGCAGCTTGAATGATAGATTTTTTTTTCTTCCCAAATAGAAATGTGTTTAAGTTAAACAGTGGACAAAGAAACAAAGCGGACCAAAATTCGTCATGGGAACCATACCAAAACTGAATTACATAATAATTAGAACAGTATATAAATTTCTATACCGAATAACATCAATTGAATCAATCAAACCGAATTAACTGAAATTCATTATACATTTACGATTTTGAGGAAATATATAGAAAAATATATTCTATTTGTTTCATTTTTGATGTTTAATAAGTTTTTTGCATAAATATTAAGAAATAAAAAAAAATCTCATTTAATTTTGGTCTTTTACATAAAAAAAGACGTCATTAACTACAACTTATTCAACCAATAAAAAAATCTACTGCAAAATATCATTGGTAAAAAAATATTAAATACATTTAATTTTTACATATAAAGTTATAAACATCACTTAAAATGAAACAATTTTTTCTCTAAAACATCATTTAAAATTGGAGGGAGTATCTTATTAGTTTTAACAGTATTAATTTTATTATAATCTTGGTCCGAACTAGGCATGGGCAGAAAAACCGGAACCGAAAACCAGAACCGAAACGGCGAAACCGACCCAAAAAGAAGAACCGAACCTAGAACCGGTAAAATACCCTATTGAGTCCTAAACTCCTAGACCCAAAGAACCGGAACCAAACCGATTTTTTGTATTTACCCTATTGGGTCTTAACCTTCTAGACCCGAATCGAAACCGAACCGATTTTTTGTATTTACCATATTAGATCCTAAATTTCTCTACTCAAAAGACTTGGACCCGATCGAGGTTTACCTAAATCCGATCCGAGTATCCGAATGCCCACGCCTAGTCACTCTGAATCAAAACTAAATTTAGTTCTACACTTGGAACCGATTTTGTAAAACACTAATAAAACTCAACCAAACTAAACCGAAAAACTGAAACCATCTCCTGGGAAACGCCGTCGCTTAAGGTTTTGTTTCCCTCACCAAACCCTTTCCTCGTTTATCTAAACAAACCTCAACCATCTCCATCAATCATCTTCTCTATATATACACATATATGTATCGATGACTTCAAAAGCTTCAAGTTATTATTTATCAGTAATGGAACCAATTACTTATTCCAAAGATCTTCCATTATTCTTCTCTATCTTCATCTTCGCTTATCTTCTCGGTTACTTATTCATTTTCAATAAATGGACTCCAGAGACTCGTCCTTTAGCTTCCAGCTGTTTAATCTCCCTCCTCCACGGTGTCTCCGCCGTCGTACTCGCCACCAACGCCTTACTCTCCGACCCTAACCGTGGATTCTCCTCCGTCAACACCCGATCTCAAAACTCTGTTCTCGATTTCAGCTCCGCTTATTTCCTCGCTGATCTCGTCCACCTCGCCGTGTTTCCTTCTCCCGCCGGCGGAGACTCACTTTTCGCAGCTCATCACGCCGCCGTGCTCTTCGTTTTCCTCACGTGCCGTTACATGGTTGCTCACGGCGCTTGCGCTCTGCTGGCGCTGCTCGTCGTCGCCGAAGCGACCAGCGCGTGTCAGAACACGTGGACGCTAGCGGATGCGCGTGGTAAAGACGCGCCTCTCGCGGTGAGTTTGCACCGTTTCGTGACGGTGCCGTTTTACGCGTCGTATAGCGTTTGCAGGTGCGTTATAGCGCCGTTGCTTATCGTTAAGATGACGTGGTTTTACGTCAGTGGAGGCGCTGATGACGTCATACCCAGATGGGTTTGGGTTTCGTGGACCGTTGTTATTGTTGCTGCCGTTACCGTTAGTATCCTTTGGATTTGGAATTTATGGGTTCTGTTTTTTCAGGAAAGGTATTCCAAATTTACCAAAAAAGTTAAATAGAAAAATATTTGAATTTTCCATATTCGAGATTTGTTATCTAATTTGAGCGTAAATTAATATCTCCGAATAAATTATGTTCATGGATTTGGATTTGTATATATATGTAAAGAGTCCGGGACAAATTTACAAAACAATTATTATATCTTAATTAGGTTCCAAAATATAATCTTAAAAAAATTAACATATAGTATAGTCAATGTTTGTATTTTCGAATATTTTATAATATTTCTGATATTTTTATTGTTATTATTGAGTCGGTCGTCGTAAGTTGAAAAACCAAAGGTAGAGAATTTTTGTTATAAACAACTATAATAGCATAGTATTAAACTTGGGTTGACTTTGTCAAGACAATATAATGAGATTTGTTCTCTAATTTTAGCGTAAAATAATACTCTATCTGTTTCACAAAAAATATCATTATCATTTTTCACACAAATTAAGAAACGTAAACAAATTTCTTTCTATCTCTTATTAATACACTAAATAATACTCTCTCTCTAATTAATAAGCTAAAATAGTGAGGTTAAAAAAGAGAATTAGTCTTTAAAACTACATTGAAAACACAAAACGACATTATTTGTGAAACGAGATTAAAACCTTAAAACGACACTCTTTGTGAAACGGAGGGAGTACCTCTGAATTAATCATATCCCATTACCTCTGGATTTGGAGCTATATGATCAACACTAATGCGCTATCATTGAAAATCTAACCACAATTTTAGTTTGGTTTATTCGGTTTTTCAAAAAAATTTAGTTGATAAAAAGTAATATTTAAAATAAAACATAATCTATTATGGACAGTTTGGTGTGTTGCTATAATTCTATTCGGTTCATATTTGAGTTCTTAAATTTTTATTTATAATATTTTCGGTTTAGTTTGAATTCTAGGTCGTTTATATAAAATTGAATTAATTTAAATTACTTTAGAACATAGTGATGTTTTCGAACGTTTTTTTTTTGTTTTGTTTGGTTCATATCACATAAGTTTGAACATATTGAGCACTCTTAATGTAAAGTGTGCATTTTGAAAATCCGAGACAAATTTTCAAAAACAATGATAGCTCAAGTCGATCCAAAAATAAATATTCAAAATAATTAACAGATAGTATATAGTAAGGTTTATATTTATTTAAAGTACAATTATTATTGCGAGTTGGTCGGAAGTTGAGACGAAAGTTATTGTGAGAATGTTTGTCGCAACCACTAAAGCATAGAAAACTTGGGATGAGTGACTATATCAAACTTGGGGTGACTTACTATATCAAATATAGAGATCATTGCCTCGGACATTAATAAATTCTACAAAAGTACAAATGTCCATGGTATCCACAACATATGTACAAATGCATGGTCCACATTATCGGATTTTATAATGTATGCTGAAAATTAGGAGTTGAATTCATCCCCTCTAGAAGTTTATACAAATCTCAAACCAAAACTAGACTAATTAACACTCTCTTTTCTTTTTTTTTTTTTTTTTTTTTTTTTTTTTTTTTTTTTTTTTTTTCTAACTGCTTAATTAATTATATTTATCGTTTGCGTTTCCTCATTTGAAGATTACAATATTCGAGCAAATAGTTGAGAGTAATCTAAATAAGAGAAGAAGTAAGATAGAGTAAAATTTAAACAACCACAAGAGAAGCATGCTTTAAGATTCCAGATAATCTAGATAAGAGATGAAGAATAGAATGAAGCCAGACCAAGTGGAGAGGAATGGTCTGTTGAGTTATGAGTGAGGCACTTTTAGAGATTCCTCCATGAAGTCTAGAGTTACACTCCTTTCGAAATCTCATAAAACGTAGCTTGAAGAATGAGTTTGACAATGATATTCAGCTTGGGACGACGAGAGGCTGACCTCGCGCATGTTACAATATCCTTACAACCCGAAGGAGTAGATAAAGAGTGATGATTAAAGAATGAACTGTCATTTTAAATAGCTCCACTTGTTTTTCTCTCGATCTCAACCTGAGAGAAACTGATATGGTATCAGCCCTTAATCAAGATTCTTCATTCCATTTCTGCTGATCTTTATGGATTCATCAAAGGTTCGGATTTGAATTCAGACTTCGACTTGAGGGAGGGTACTTGTATATAGTATATACTTGTTTATACATTTCTTTATATATACTTGTATATAAACTCAATGTAAACACAATTTACAGATTAATGAGAAATAACAACCTTTAATCTCTCACTTTACCAATTATGTTACCCACAAGCCACAATACATAAATTATAAGAGAGGGTTTTTTGGAACTTAATTTAGTCATATTAATTAAATTATTTCGATGACATTTTCTATAAAATTATTGTTTTTAATTATTAGTGGTCTGGTGTGTACACTTCATATATGTTTTACTTACTTGGGTTCCAAGTTATTAAGACTGTTCTGGTTGGTGTGTGTATATCGGTCATGCTCAGTGGCGGAGGTAGTGAAGAGGGAGGGGGTCAATTGACCCCCATAACATTTATGATTTATGGATATTTTTGTTTAATTTTTCCATAATTCCCATGCCATCAATCAATTTTCTTAATTTGACCCCTCACATGTTAATTTTTTTTAGCATTAATTCATTTTCTATTTTTTGTTTTATGTTTTTTCTAATATATAGCTACAAATCTTTAAAATCGTGGTAAATATTAATTTTTTAGACATATTCTATTTTTTTCCAAAATTGTTTTTAGAGATATTTTATTTAGTTTAAAATAAATAATTTAATATTAATATATAATTAAATAAAAATTAATTAATTATATATGACCCTTATAAACTAAAATTCTAGCTCCGCCACTGGTCATGCTCTGTATAAGATCTATCTGGATTCTGGAAGCAGAGGAAGAAGAGATTGAAAAGGAGAAGAAAGAAGAAGGCGCTGCAACTGTACCTGCAAAAGGAGCATTAGAAGAGCGGTCTTGTCGATTCGAGTATCAGCAACCGCAGCAGATTATTCCTTATCCGTCTCCATTTGAACTCTCTTATATCTTCTATCCTCAGCACCATCATTTGATGAACCAGCAAGAGTGGTCGGACTGGTTTGATATGTCTGATAGCCCTACAGTTTTTTGGACTCCTGAGCTAGGAAAAGCAGAGCACATCAAATAGCCCAAGATAGACCGAGACAAATCAAATCAGCAGTCGTTTTTACTTGTCGAGAGAATCTATTCTTGTTGCTACTTACTATTCAGTCATCGTTTTGTTTTTTCTTAACTACTTTTGTTGTCCAAAGTCCGAGGGCTTATTGCTTTTAGAGCATCTCCAACCCACCTCTATTTTTTTCTCTATACTCTATTATAGAGTAAAATTCACTCCAACCCACCTCTATTTTCACATCTAAAATAGAGATCTCTATTTTCACCTCTAAAATAGAAATCTCTATTTTTTGCTCTATATATAGACTATAGAGGATCTCTATTGTTTCCTCTATATTATTCCTCTATAATAGAGTTAAAATTTATAGAAGAAAAAATAGAGGAATACATTGGAGTAAAACCCACCTCTATTATATAATTCCTCTATTTTAGAGGCAAAAATAGAGAAATACATTGGAGATGGTCTTATATAGACTTTATTGTATACAACAACATTTTCACACATATTCAATATTTTCCACTGCTTGTATAGAAAAATCAGTTTTAAAGACAAAACAACAAAAGAAGACAGAACGTTTCTTCTTAATTTCTACAACAAATAAAGACAGAATGTAATTAAGGTGAAGGAGGAGGTGGAGGAAGAACATTTTCGTCTTGCTCTCTAAGAAGATCCAAAATCTCTGCAGGGTTGTTATCAACACTTTCTTCGTCTTCCGATTCAGATTCGGACTCAGATTCGTTTATTGGCAAATAATCAAATTCGGGTTTAATCTTCTTGCCCTTGATATGGCAGAAAACCCAATCAGAAAATGAAACTGTTTGTCGGAGGCTGATTTCATCCAGGAACCAATCATATTCTTCTTCTTCATCTTTCTCCACGAGAGTAAATCGACGTCTCGTAGCAACTACTAGTTGCCGATTCTTTGGATATAACACATTGGTTTCTTCTCCTATTGGTGTCCATAGGTTACAAGTAACTTGGTTGTTACGTTTCCTGCAAAAATAATACCAATGCTCTTCTCTTGGATAACCAGGCAAATCACGAGGATGTCTTGAGAAGATATCATGACACTCTTCAGGTACCCTACGAGCTATTATTGCCTGTCCTAAAGCTTTTTTCTTCAAAAAATTATTTGCCATCTCAAACCTTGTTGGACGAAACTTGAATCCTATAGGCAAAGGTCTGTATATTGGCTCCATTCTCAGCAAAAACAAACAAACAAGAAAGATGAAAAATTGGAACTGTGATTGAAAACAAGAAAAGAAGAAGTCGTGAATCAGAATGACTGAAACTAGAATTCTAATAAAAAGAAACTTTGCTTGTAGTGATTCGGATGACTAAAACTTGTTCTCTTGAGCTTGTATTTATAGATTAGTTCTTAATGTAATCCTAGAATGACTCAGACTACGAACTAGGAAAACTAACAAGTTATTTCCTTTTTTTTTTTTGTTGACAAAAGTCATTTCCTAAAAAAGAGAGATATTTTTCTATTTCTTATTGTAACGGTAGAATATTTCCAAAAATTAAATAAGGAAATTGTCCTAAGCAAGCGACACTCATTATTTCGTTTCTCCAAAATTCAATTTACTTCCACTATATTTCCGTTTTTACGAGGCCATTTATTAATATTGGGCCGCGTTAGTCTATAACACTAATGGGCTTTAAACAAGCCCATATCCTATAATTGTCGGCAATAATTAAAAAAAAAACCCTCTCTTCCAAGTTCTAAAATCATTTCATAAACCCTAAACAAACCCCTAAATCTCTCTCCTTGGAAGCATTTTTGTGAGGTCAAAAAAAAAAAAAAAATGGGAAGTCAACAAGCAGCGATTTCGCTCCTGACGAACTTGGCGAAGGCGGCGTTTGGTTTAGGTGTGGCGGCGACGGCACTGAACTCGTCGCTCTACACGGTTGATGGTGGCGAGAGAGCTGTGTTGTTCGATCGATTCAGGGGAGTGTTGGATCAGACTGTCGGCGAAGGGACTCATTTCTTGATCCCGTATCTCCAGACACCTCACATCTACGATATTCGTACGAAACCTCACACTTTCTCCTCCAAATCTGGTACTAAGGATCTTCAGATGGTTAATCTCACCCTTCGTGTTCTCTTTCGCCCTGAGGTAATTCTATTTTGAGCAATCAATTTGTCGATTCTGTGTTTGATTTCGTAGAAATTGGATGATTACATGATCTAGGGTTTAGGATTATCTTGTGCGTAATTTGCTTTCTTCTCGATAGAAGATCTAGGGTTTAGGATAATCCGTATGTGTAATATGGTTTCTTCGATGAATGTTACTCTTATAATAGAAGCTTTTTTGGTGATGAACATTGTTAAATCATTTTGAATTCGAGTTATGGAAATGTCTGAGAGTAAGTATATCTATGCTGCCTTCGATTTTTTGAGGGATTTAATAAGTTGTTGTGGTTATTTCATTGTGAAGGTTTCGCGTCTCCCGAAGATTTACCAAACATTGGGTCTAGAATACGATGAGAAGGTTCTTCCCTCAATTGGAAATGAGGTATTGAAAGCTGTGGTTGCTACTTTCAATGCTGATCAGCTCCTCACTGAGCGTCCTCAAGTATCAGCACTTGTTCGTGATGCTCTTATCAAGCGTGCCAGGGAATTCGGCATTGAGCTCGACGACATAGCTATTACTCACTTATCATACGGTGCTGAGTTCTCGAGGGCAGTTGAGGCGAAGCAAGTGGCTCAGCAGGAAGCTGAAAGGTCAAAGTTTGTGGTGATGAAAGCTGATCAAGAGAGGAGAGCTGCGGTTATAAGAGCGGAAGGTGAGAGTGAAGCTGCTCAGTTGATTTCAGATGCAACAGCTAAAGCAGGAATGGGACTAATTGAGCTTAGGAGGATTGAAGCTTCAAGGGAGGTTGCAGCTACTCTGGCTAGGTCTCCGAACGTGGCTTACTTACCTGGTGGACAAAGCATGCTCTTTAATCTGAACCCTGGTCGTTGAGCTATAACATTGGTATGGCTCTTTTAAACTCTTTTACTCCTGAATACTGAAAGAAAATAGATTTTGGACTGGAACCCCACAGGGGTTTGAGTCTGATGCATTGAGAGTATTATCATCTTATAGCAGGGCCGGGAATTCAGTTTTTCGTTTTTGAGATATTTATGCAGAACATAAAAGTGGAATTTGTCTGGTTCAATTTGTTTTTTTTTGTAAACAAAATTGAATATACTTCTGGAATATATTTGAAATGAAAGTTATAATGTTGAATGAGTGTATTTCTTTTGAAATAAGAGTGGTTATGGTTTGGTATAAACTGTTTGGTTTGACGATAAAGTTCGGTTTCGGTTTTGGTATTTATGTTCACCTTTATCTTCTAGTTTCATTCCATGATTTTTCTGAGTACTTCTTTGTATTTGTAGGTTGGAGAGAGGAGCTTAAGTGAAAAAAAAAGATGGAGATGTGAATTTGGCAATGGGCTTTTGTTTCTGATGAACAACAATGGGAATTGAGAAATGCTAGTTACTAGTTTCTGTTCTGACTCTTGAGGTACACAGTTTGTTTTTTAAAACATTGTTGCTTCTCTTCCTTCAATGGGTTTTGTGGACTTTTTTTTTTTTAACATCATTTTTCTGTGGTAATAACCCCAACATGGAATTTGCTCCTACCAACCTTCCATCAAGACCTGTTATTAAGGCACATATTATCTTCATCTCATTGCTACTATTCCAAACTTGTCGTGTTGAATGTTCGATAACTTTGTTTTTTTGAAGTAAATGTTGAAATTAGAAAAACAATTGGAGTTCTGAAAAACATAAAAAAAGTTTATATTTTCAACTGCTTATCTAATGGAAATGTAAGTCGATGGTTTAAAATATAACAAATTCTTAAGAAAATGAAACCAATTCCACAGTTTTAGAATTTAAAAGTCATATAACCGTTGAAAAAAAATCATAAACAAATATAGGGATATTAGATTTTAACCCGTGGTATACAGCCGGATGATTTATTTTTTAAAAGTAGTAATTTTTAAAATTTAATAATTATGTATTATATATAAAAGTTTGCAAAATGTAACATTTTATAAGACATATATTTTATAGTTTACAATTGTTATTAAGTAACGGTATACCACGAGACAATTTTTGTTTTATACAATTTTATCTAAATCAGACTGATTCGATATGTCTAATATTAGTGGTGTTAAAAAATAATAAAATGAAGATTTAACCCATATTGAAGCGGTGAGTTAATGATATTTTAAATTTTTATTAATGTTGATTCAAACACGTTCTGCCATATAACCCTGTTCCGCAATATAATCCATCCCGTGTTATACATTTTTTATATGTTTTTTTTTTTTGTCAACAGCTTAAATAAAATAGATGCTCAAAAGAGCCATTCCTGGGGAATGTTGTTTACATAAGTGATATGATGCGTTTCGGTACTAATTTTTCGTGCCAAATTATCCGCTTTTACATTTGCGCTACGCGGAATTAAAGATAAAGAAAAATTTGAGAATTCTTCCTTGTCACTCTTCAAGTTTTCCAGATACACTGAGAAGGCCGGCCATTCGGTTGGGGAAGACACCATCTTCACCAAATCTGAACATTTTTTTATATGTTCAAATGTTCATAATATTATAAACTTTTTAATTGATTTTAAATATATCAATTATAATATTTAAAACTTTTTAAGAGTTTAAAATTTTAACATTTCTGGTAAATACATATTTTACAAATGAAGAAATAATATATTTAGCGGAAATAAAAAGTTTCTTCAAAATTTATTTAGCGGAAATTTTATCTATACCTAAATTTTTTTAGATACATATTTTTGAAGAAATAAATTTAGGTATAGTTTGTTGGAATCTTGACCTCGTCTATCACTTAGGGTCAGATTCACTCTTCTCTCTAGTTCTTTCTATACTTTGTTTTGTTAATCACAAAGCTTTTAGAACACTTAGAGAGATTCTCTTTGGATGTCTACATTGTTACTCTCTTTAGGTCTCTTGGAGATTAGGTTTAGCCACTTCAACCTCTTTCTCCTTAATCTCTAATATATTCTTCTCTTACAACAACACGACCATATTTATACTATCTTACTTGTTTCCACCTTAACCTACTTAGCTTAAGCTTAAACTTAAACTTAACCAACCAAACCCACTAACACTTGTGGGCCTAATTTACTTACAGCCCAATGGCCTTATTACAAAACACAAGCCAACTTCTTTCCTTTTGTTGACTTGTTCTCTTTGTCGTTGACCAGCTTGGTCACGAGACTTTCTTCTTCTTCTCCATCTTCTCTTCTTTGCTCCATTTAAGCTTCTTTTGTTATGCTCTTCTTTTCACTTATTGAAGCTTCTTCTTCTTGCAGGATTTAATCTAGGATTCATAATTCCAACATAGTTTTTTGTTGAAATGTGTAATTCATTGATCTAGTAAAAAAGGAAATATGTACATATGTGTAATTCATTCCAACAGTTTACAAATGTACTATGTTAAATAACTAATAAAATGACGCAAAGATGAAAAAAAAAACTTAGGTGAAATCACAACCATTGGTTGAATATTTTGCAGAAATATCTATCACGACTTGTTCAAAATAGGGTGGACCAAACAAATAAACCAAAATGGACAACGATGTAATAATTCGCAGAAATTTCAAAGTCAACGTCCAGTGTCAATATATTTTGGAACCTATATTGTCAATCAATACTCCGTATAGGATCTTGATCTTCTCTCCATCACTAATGCATTCTTCCTTTTTACTTACCATTGTTGTTGCTGCAATAGGCTTCCTCGTGTTTTATGGAAAATTCATACTCCATCAAGATAACAAAGATATTGATTTTTCTTCATCGTTAAGTCTTTCATCACCTCCATCTTCTTTGTCTCGCAACTGGATCCATGATGTTTTTTCGAGCTTCCGTGGAGAAGATGTCCGCAAAGACTTTCTAAGTCACATTCAAAAGGGTTTTGAAAGAAAAGGAATAAGGCAATTCAATGACTATGAGATCGAGAGAGGTGAATCCATCTCTTTTCAACTTATAAGAGCGATTAGAGGATCTAAAATCGCGGTCATCTTGTTCTCGAGGAACTACGCTTCTTCAAAATGGTGTCTTGATGAATTGATGGAGATTATGAAATGCAGACGAGAGTTAGGTCAAATAGTGATAGCCATTTTTTACAAAGTGGATCCATCTGATGTACGTAACCAGAGCGGAGATTTTGGGAAGGTCTTCAGAAAAACTTGTGCCGGTAAAACAAAGGAGGAAATTAGGAGATGGAGAACAGCTTTGGCAGAAGTAGCCACTATTGCTGGTTACCATTCAAGCAACTGGTTCGTCAATTTTTGTTTTATTCTGTTTCAATTCAAGTTTGCTCATAATCTTGTTACAACTGAAATGGTTACTTTAAGGGCATAAAATGTTAATATGAATATAGATATGTGGATATATACTACGAAAAATCATGAACTTACATCTAAAATCTTATTGGTAATTAGTGGATTGACCATTTGGTTTTTGGTTCACTTAGATCGCCTTGCTTGGACTTGCTGGTCTCTATACGTACAATGTGAAGAATGATAAGTTTCTAATTAAAAACCAATTCACAAGATATATTAATTAATTAATTGGTTAATTAATGCCTCTTAAATACCATAAGAAAATTCTCTAAATCCATATTACGAGATATCAATAGTACTATTAAATTCTTATTAATCGGAAATTGATATCTATAAATAATGATTTATGAGAAACTATTCCTACAAAAGTACTTTTTGCATGTCAATATGATTTTTATTTTCTTTTCATGATCAATTAACGGATGCATGCATTGATTCAGGGATAATGAAGCAGCCATGATCGAGAATATCGCAACTGATGTGTCGAAAAAGCTGACTTTTTCCATGAGATCTATTGATTTCAACGACTTAGTTGGGATGAGAGCTCATATGGAAAATATGAATCAATTGTTATACCTAGACATGGATGAAGTGAGGATGATAGCGATTTGGGGTCTTCCTGGGATTGGTAAGAGCACAATTACCAAATTTCTATATAACCAACTTTCTAACAGATTCCAAGTGAGTGTCTTTGTCAAGAATATCAAAGCGCTTTATACAAGACCAAATGCGGAGTTCATGTCTCTACTAATATACCACAATGATAGTGAAGTTCTAAATCTACAAGTTGAACGAGAGAGGTTGAAACTCAAGAAAGTGCTTGTCGTTATTGATAATCTTGACGGGTCAGTAAATTTAGATGATATACTAAAAGAAACTCAGTGGTTTGGTCCTGGAAGTCGGGTTATCCTCGCGGTCCAAGATAGAAAGCTTTTGAAGGAATATAAGATCAAATATAGTTATAGAGTGTCTTTGCCTTCAGATCATGAAGCTTTGCAAATCTTTTGTATGGCTGCTTTTGGTCAAAAGTTCCCTAAAGATGGTTTTGAGGATCTTGCAAGGAAAGTTTTGAATATTGCTGGTAAGCTTCCTTTGAGACTAAAGATTATGGGCTCTTACTTCCGGGGAATGACCAGGGAGGAGTGGATTGAGAACATTGATCCATTTTGAAAATGAATTCAAGTCTATTTTTTTTTTTTTCCATCAAATGAATTCAAGTCTATGCAAGTAGGATGTGTACTTTAATATTTATTTCTTGAAATTATTTGAATAAATTTGATGTAATCTTTTTTCATAAGGATGATATATAGACATTATTGCATTATTGTTAGTTCAATATGATATATCACCAAGTTACCAACATGGTACAATTAGTTTATGATATCAAAGTCATGGGTTTTGACACCAGACGAACTCTTGTAACTGGCTAGACCTTTGAAGGGCTTGTTTTCAGTCATTTAAGCAAAACAGAAGGGCTTGTTTTCAGAGTCATTTAAGCACTTCCTACACTCATGGCAACGTTCAATGCACAAAGATTTAGGATGTTCAGAGTATCTTTCAAGCTCAGGGAGCTCAAGAAAGTAATCCGAAACTTTAGCAAATAAAACTTCTCTGACCTGGAAAAAAGAGTGCATGAAGCAAGAAAAATACTCTCTGATCTGCAGATTATAATGCTCACTGATCCCTCTCCGTCTAATGCTATTCTAGAGATTGAAGCGACTTCGAAATGGGAAATTTTAGCTTCGGCTGAGGAGTCTTTCTTCTGCCAAAAATCAAGGATCACCTGGCTCGGTGAGGGTCACAAAAGCACAGCATACTTTCATCGTATGGCTTCGACGAGACAAGCTATAAACCACATTCACTTTCTTTTCGATGATGACGGAAATCGTTTTGAGACTCAGAAAGAAATCCAGGATCATTGTATTGGGTTCTTCAAACAGCTGCTAGGCACTGTGGAGTCTGCTCCTCTGTTTCTTCACGAGGATCAGGCCCGGCGGAGAGGGCAAGCCAGTGAAGCCACCGATTAGGGTCTCAAAATTTTGAGGGCCTTTTTACCTAAAAATTTGTTAAGTTTTCTTATATACAATAATTTTTGTAGGGCCTTTTAAAAATATTGTGGGTTTTTAGAGACAACTACAACATTTTTTTAAGGGTAAAAATCTAATTTAAAAAAAAAAAAATTTATAGGCTTTAATTTTGCTTAGGGCACCCAAATTGATCGGGCCGGCACTGACGAGGATATCTGCTCATTGTTAAATTACCAATGCTCTGCTGATCTCAGAGGTAAGTTTGATTCTGTGTTCTCTAGGGAGGAAATCAAAGCTGTTTTTTTCTCTTTGCCAAAGAACAAATCTAGTGGACCAGATGGATACTCTGCAGAATTTTTCACGAATTGTTGGAGTATTGTAGGAGCTGAGGTTTCTTCTGCAGTTGCTGAATTCTTCTCTTCTGGAACCCTCCTCAAGCAATGAAATGCTACCTCTCTTCTGCTAATCCCCAAGACTCACAATGCCTCGAAGGTGTCTGATTTTCGGCCTATATCCTCCTTGAACACGGTCTACAAGGTCATATCTAAGCTGTTGGCCTCTAGACTCCAATCGCTCCTGCCTTCTATGATCTCCCATGAGCAGTCGGCTTTCTTATCTGGTCGCCTTCTCTCCGAAAATGTCTTGCTGGCTTCAGAGATCGTCCAAGGGTACAACAGAAAATACATCTCTCCTAGAGCAATGCTAAAAGTTGATTTGAGAAAAGCATTTGACTCAGTAAGATGGGACTTTCTCTTATCTGTTTTGACTGCTCTTGGCTTGCCTCCTAAGTTCATAGGATGGATTAAAGAATGTGTTTGCACTCCCACCTTCTCTATCTCTGTGAATGGGCACTCCGATGGGTTTTTTAAAAGTTCTAGAGGCCTAAAGCAGGGCGACCCGCTTTCGCCATATCTTTTTGTCTTGGTCATGGAAGTCTTCTCCAAGCTCTTGCATTCTAGATATGATTCTGGCTTTATCTCCTACCACCCGAAGACTTCTGCTTTGGAAATTTCCCATCTCATGTTTGCGGACGATGTGATGGTGTTTTTCGATGGGAGTAGCTCTTCTCTTCATGGTATTTATGAGACTCTTGATGATTTTGCGGGTTGGTCTGGGCTTCATATGAACCGAGAAAAAATGCAACTCTTCCACGCTAGTCTCTCCTCTTCTGAAAATGTAGCTATTACTAGCTATGGTTTTCCTATTGGCAGCCTGCCTGTAAGATATCTTGGTTTGCCGCTAATGTGTAGAAAGTTGTGGATCAATGAATACGCTCCTCTGTTAGACAAGATCTCTAATAAATTCCGAACATGGGATGTCAAGTCTCTTTCTTTTGCGGGGAGAACTCAGCTTATTGCCTCTGTTATTTATGGAACAATCAACTTTTGGATGTCTACTTTCTTACTACCTAAGGGTTGTATAAAAAAGATTGAGTCCCTTTGTGCTAGGTTTTTGTGGTCTGGCACGGTTGAAAATCACAAAAAGGCAAAGGTTTCTTGGTCCACTATTTGCCTCCCGAAGAATGAAGGAGGATTGGGTCTTAGGAAGCTATTTGTTTGGAACACCACACTATGCCTCAGGCTTATTTGGTTGCTTTTCTCAAACAGTGGATCCTTATGGGTAGCGTGGCAGCATCACCACCATAATTTAACCTCGGTTAGTTTCTGGGCCTTGAAAGAAAAAAGTGCGGACTCTTGGCTATGGAAAAGTTTACTCAAGCTTAGAAATTTGGCGGAGAAGTTTATAAAGTGCAGCTTAGGGGATGGCTCTACAGCTTGGTTTTGGTATGACAGTTGGTCTCCTTTGGGCCCTCTCATCAAAGCCATCAGAGACAATGGTCCCAACAGCTTTAGGGTGCCGCTTAATGCAAGAGTTGCTGATGTGTGTAATGGAAATGGTTGGCGTTTGCCACCACCGAGATCTGATTGTGCTCTGTCACTACACGTTTATCTCTCAAACATCACCTTACCAAGTGAATCTGATGAAATAGACTCTTTCAGTTGGTATGTGAATGACAAGTGCTGTGGAGGTTTTACAGCGAGTACTACTTGGGAAGCACTTCGACCAAGGGTTTCTCTTAAGGACTGGGCCTCACAGGTCTGGTTTAAAGGAAACACGCCTAGTCATGCTTTCAACTTCTGGGTTGCAAATCTGGATAGACTGCCCACTTTAGCGCGAATGGGGTCTTGGGGTATTCAGGTTACTGATTCTTGCTATCTTTGTTCTGCAGCAAGCGAAACGCGGCTGCATATCTTTATTGATTGTCTTTATACTCAGGTTATTTGGGCATCTATCTTCTCAAGACTTGGCTTGCCTGGAAGACTGCCCTGCAATTGGGATTCAATGTTAGAGTGGACAAAGGTGATAAATCAAAATTCTCCTACAAAATTGCGACTCTTGCTTGTCCATGCTCTGGTTTACAATGTCTGGAGACAGAGAAATAACTACAAGCACAATCATATCAAGATTCCGCCGCTTACCATCTTTAGGGATATTGACCGGCAAATCATCAATTCGATCACTGCAAGGAGACATCTAAAGAAGTTTAGGAATCTCATGCCTCTTTGGCTCCACTAGTGGACCTTTCTTTTCATGTATGAGTCTGTCTATTGTTCCCTTGGTTTTTAAACTTTTTTTGTCAACGTTCAGTGCTTAGGTCTTCCACTTGTAACACCTAATTTTCATTAATGATATTTACTCTCTTAGCAAAAAAAAAAAAAAAAGATTTAGGATAAGGATTTTGACCCTTGCATGGACAGGTTTCTGCTGGATAATTAAATACCAGACTTGGTTTCTCACACCATGGGTATACATCACTAGGTCAGTAACTCGATCATCCTCTAAAGAGAATACTGATCCGCCCGCTTTAGCATTGATCATACTCTCAAGTGTTTTCTTATTTATACATACATGTCGAGGATAGTTTCTGAAATATTTTAGAATGTCTTGCCTTTATTCAATAGAAGAGAAGAGTATTTATACACATACAAGTTGCCTATTCTTGATAGAATCGAATCTAAGTAAATATATTGATATATATCCTAATAGTTTCTCACACTATGGGTATACATCACTAGGTCATACTCACATCATATATCTATTCTCTAGCTAGGTCAGTTTTTTCTGGTTTCTAACGTAATTTCATGCACACATTCGGTAGTAATAATGAAGCAGCCATGATCGCCACTGATGTTTCAAAAAAACTGAAACAATTCATGAGACAAATAGATTTAACGACTTAGTTGGGATATGAGCTCATACGGAAAAGATGAGAGAATTGTTACGCCTAGATTTGGATGAAGTGAGGATGGTTGAGATTTGGGGTCTTTATCAAGAATATCAAAGAGTTTTTTTTTTTACAAAACCAACTTGTTTTGATATAACATATCAGAATGATAACAAGGTTATTATTAAAACAAAATTTTTTTTATATATAAAATTAAATATTTAAAATTTCGAAAAATATATATATGGTAAGTACATTTAATATTTGTATTTTTGGTTACTGGTTTATTTTTAGTTTTGTTATTTTTAATTAAATGTATATTGTTTTTTAATTAATTGCATATACACTCTGTTTGTTATAATTTTAAAATGTTATCGTAGCTCTATGGTTTAGAGTCTCTCATTCGCTCAAGTGGTCAGCAGTTTGATTCTTCATGGACGTAGTTGTTTTGTTTTATTTTACACTGGAATGACGTCGTTCTGTTGTTTTCAAAACGACGTCGTTTCGATTCAACGGAAATTTCTAACGAAAAGTTACTCCGTCATCGTCTCGTCAACGGAAATTTAACGACATGTCCGAAATGGCCAAGTCAACGAAACTTAACCATTTTATCAAAAGTCAAACTAAACCTTATGATTTAAAAAGCATTTCGAAAGTTCATGTTTTTTCGGTCCCAAATTTAAAAGTTCGTGTTTTTTCGACATTTTTCTCATTTACAAAATATGCCATTTAACTTTAAACTACTTATTTTAAAAATCCATTTATCATTCAAACAAAGTTCGTTTTTGTCATTCTAATACACCATCGTGTAGTGCTCGCAGCAACGATTCCTGCCGAAATCTGATTATTCCGATGGACGTCTCCACTAGAAAATCCACCATAACAATGATCAAAACTATTTTTTCAAAAACTATTTCCAACAATACTGTTGTTGTACTTGTATTATTTAAAATATAAAATTAAAAAATGGTAAATAAATTAAATAAAACTTTGTATGTGGTCACTTCGGTGGCTTCGGTGTATTCGGTGGCCTCTTGTGGTGGGGTAGGCAAGACAGAACAAGAGTACATT